CACTTCTCCCTGGTTCACTATGCTGGTACAGTGGACTACAATATCACTGGCTGGCTGGACAAGAACAAGGACCCACTGAATGACTCAGTTGTTCAGCTCTACCAGAAGTCATCAAACAAACTGCTGTGCCTCCTGTACGCAGCCCATGCTGGAGCTGAAGGTAAGAAAGAAAAATTGCTCACAAGCTCGGGTGTCCAGTACAGATAGTATGTATCTGTGTAATAACTATAATGTGCATACTGCAGGCTAATATGTATACTGTGAAAAATATTCATTAAATTCCAATAATGAAATTTACTGTTTATGAAAACAGAGGCTGGTGGTGGTGGTGGCAAGAAGGGTGGTAAGAAGAAGGGTGGTTCCTTCCAGACTGTGTCTGCTCTTTTCAGAGTATGTATAGATTTATAATTTTAAAAAAAATAATTAAATGCTCATTTTTAAATAGTATTAACCTATTATCTAATGATGCTGATCTACAGGAGAATCTGGCCAAGCTGATGACCAACTTAAGAAGCACTCATCCTCACTTTGTCCGTTGCCTGATTCCCAATGAGACAAAGACCCCAGGTAAAACCCCCACAGGACCCCACAGTAATATTAAGTACCCAAAACATTACACAGTGACATAAATAAAGTTTTGAAACATTATGAATTTCTAACTCTCAGGTCTTATGGAGAACTTCCTGGTCATCCACCAGCTGAGGTGTAACGGTGTACTGGAGGGCATCAGAATCTGCAGAAAGGGTTTCCCCAGCAGAATCCTCTATGGTGACTTCAAGCAGAGGTGACAGCACATTACAATATTGGAAAGGAAAAATGGTTTCATGGTTGTTGTATAGAGTAAACTTGAATATGGTGAAAGAAAAATCTAAGTAACAATCTGATTGTCTCTTAAAGATACAAAGTGCTGAATGCCAGCGTCATCCCTGAGGGACAGTTCATTGACAACAAGAAAGCTTCAGAGAAGCTGCTTGGCTCCATTGATGTGGATCACACACAGTACATGTTTGGGCACACAAAGGTACACTTCATTATATTAATAGACATTAAAAAAGACACTATCAATATGCACCTATACATATGTTTTCAATGATTAAATAGGTGTTCTTCAAAGCTGGTCTGCTGGGCACTCTTGAGGAGATGAGAGATGAGAAACTGGCTGAGCTGGTGACCATGACTCAGGCTCTCTGCAGAGGATACGTCATGAGGAAAGAATTTGTGAAGATGATGGAGAGGAGGTAACGTTATCATACTAAACTCTATTGTATTCTCTTTTGTATTTCCTTCCTCATATTAAGATCCTACGACACTGAAAGTAACACTCTCATGTTTGGTTTTTAGAGAATCTATCTTCTCCATCCAGTACAACATCCGTTCTTTCATGAATGTCAAGAACTGGCCATGGCTGAAACTGTACTTCAAGATCAAGCCTCTTCTGAAGAGTGCTGAGACTGAGAAGGAGTTGCAGAACATGAAGGAGAACTATGAGAAGATGCAGACAGACCTGGCTGCTGCTCTAGCCAAGAAGAAGGAACTGGAAGAGAAGATGGTCAGCATGCTGCAGGAGAAGAATGACCTGCAACTTCAAGTGGCTGCAGTAAGTAGTAGAGAAAACTATATATTACACCTATAGTTCACGTATATAAGTTATATATAAAAGGACCACATGTTTGTCTCTCCCTCTGATTATTTATTTGCTAAAAGTGTAGTTAAAATTACGATCAAGAAAACACTAGGACAATGTGACTCACAAATAATCTAACTTGTGTGTTCAACATGTATTATAGGAAGTTGACAATCTCTCGGATGCTGAAGAAAGGTGTGAGGGGCTCATTAAGAGCAAGATCCAGCTCGAGGCCAAACTCAAAGAGACAAGTGAGAGACTGGAGGATGAAGAGGAAATCAATGCTGAGCTGACTGCTAA